GCTAAAAATAGAAAAAAAATAATAAATAAAATAAAGCTTTTTAATATGACAGACAGAAAGATGGGTTTAAATGTGAAAATGATCATTGTACAAAATTGTGGGAGAAAGATAACTGTGAAATAAATGCATGCTGTACATTAAAACATTGTTAGATGCAGTGCCTAACAACAACCCCTGCAGATACTGTGATACGCAAACCCTCTTCCAGAGTCCTCTAACACTGTTAAATGTGGAGGCTTTCTGAGCATTTCCTTCCTGGTTGGAATTCATAAAATTGATGGCACAGTTACATCAAAGACAGAACTTCCCATCCTCTTCAGAACTGTGATAATGTACCTTCGAGGGCTTGATGTGAATGTGATTGTAAGAAAGTTCATATTAAATGTGATTGGTTGTGAATAATTTTAACATGTCACTTCCCCTCCCCCGCCAAGGCTTTGTTTAAAACAATGCCTCAGTCTTGATTTACCTAACTTTTCTGTACACTGTGAACTTTGTCAGGTCTGCTTTCCTCAAAACTAGAAAGGGCCAGAGAGCAGATTTCTCATTTTAATGCAATTGGTCAAGACTAAGGATATCTAAATCCAATAAAAAATTCCAAACAGTTTGCATTGTTTTAAGTGTTTTCTTTATGGGGTATTAGCATTAATTTAAAGATCAACAAAAATTAACCTGTTTTTCAAATGAAGATAGTGCAATCAAAACTTTTGCTCAGAATCACTAGAACTCTTAATCCTATGGTATGTGAGGAGACTTCCAAAATTTCCAGTTTCTCCAAGGCATTTCATGACTTCCAAAGGTATTTTCACAGTATACCAAGGATTCATATTACATAGAACTGAGAAAGACACATTGTAAATTATAAAAACAAAAAAGTAAATCAACATTCTTTATTTTCCTTATTTTTAACAGTAGAGTAGAGAAAAAAACATGGAGACTAATATTCAAGTCCAGAGACTACAAGAAGATGAGAGTAGTTGGTGAATATGAAACAGGAAAATATTATGACACTCTGGGTTCTTAGGCTCTTTCTTTCTATTCTGATAACCCTGTAGGAGACACAAGCTTTATCTCTTACAACTCTTTCTGCTTATTTCTAGTGGCAATGCACAGATGGTGAAGACAAAACACGCATGAGAAATGTTATAAGAATTTTGATTAGCATCTGCAGTCCTTTCACAATCATCATTCATGCATGATGGTGGGAGGAAGGTTTAGGTTTGTTTATTTTCCAAATTTGGACAGAGTAGATTTTGTTTCTTAGAAACTAGTGCTGCAGAATAGTGAAAGGGATTTTGGAGACCAGTTATAAGTGTCGTTTATGCCCTTGTCTCAATAACTAACAACAAGAGTATGTTCGTAATCAGAAAACCCTGCTGTTATTCATTATCTACTAAGAATGTATCTAGTTAGCTGGTATGATAGATACATAACAGTCTACAATTTCTATTATTGAAGTTTTTATTGTAGCCATTAAACTTCACATTCAATATTTAAATTTAACATTAATGATTTTACAGTCCACATTCATTCAGTGACATAATGAAGTAAAATAGTCAACCTAGGATTCATTTTTGGGTAGAATATCATATTTATTCATTGTACACTCGGTAAATGAATT